TTGACATAGATGGATACGCCACCACTAGCTTTTTGTGAATCTCTATTTTTATGGAAAGATCTGAAGTTGTTCATGGTATAAGTGCGGTTGTTTTGGAAATGAGTTTCTTGCAGGCAGATAACAAGAGGGTTTTTTTCTCTCATTAATATCTTAAGCATCTCTAGGTGGGTAAATAACCCATTGATATTCCACTGTAGTATGAATTTAATGAATTGTTAGATTTGATGAATCGATTGTCCTAGTACATTTCTTGGGAACATTCGCTGTCCTGATCTGATAATGACATGATTGAATGAGTTTCTAGTTCGTGATTCAATTGTTTGAAGGATTTTTTCTTGATTCTTGTTATTCTAGCTTTAAGGCCTTTTTCTGTTAGTGTTGGGTAGATTTTAGCAAGCATACCAAGAAGTCCGTGAACATTGTCAGTGTAGTTCCGAGCTATATTTAGTGGATCTGAATTTCCAAATGAGTTTTCTAAAAAATCGGTTAGTTGATTAAAATTTGAAGGAAAAGGAGGATTTTCTTGTTCAATCATCAGTTTGGCGGGTTGAATCAGAGACTGCATATCGGATAAATTTTCTGTATTAGCTTTCTTGGTTTTTTTGGATTAGGTACGATTGGTTTAGTAAAATTGTTCACTATAGGTTCCTCTGTCGTATTATTCGTATATCAGGTCTGGATATTTCAGATTTACTTTGTTTTTGGGAAGGTGTAGGTATATTCAGATCCAGACGTGATACTTCTTCAGGCAGTACTTCAATGGAAGGTATTTGTTCAGAAAGGTTCAAATTCGGGCTATTAGAGTCTGAGGCTTCATTTACGATTTCTGGGCAAATGAAAGCGATATGACCGTGTTTTTTACACCTGAAGCAATTGAGATTGTCATCGGAAAGAAATATTCGGTATGAGGTGTTGTCAAAGTTTACTATGAGGGAGTCAGGAATAGTAACATCATCAGAAGGAGAGATATAGGTCTGCCTACGGAAACTAAGTATGTGACTGAATTCAGGATTATTGATCCGTATTCTGAGGAATGTGATAGGACAAAGCATATTTAGTCCAATTTCTTTAAGTTTCCGTTCAATGACCGAGTGTGGTATAATTGGAGATACATTTGACATTACTAGGCGAATAGAAGGCGTTATCAATCTTCTGGCCATGATGAGTTCTCCGTTGATAGAAATGGAACCGGTATTTTTCACGAAATTTTCAACAATTTCTTTACTGGAGAGGTAAATGCATATACGGTTATTGGAAATTCTCGAGGAGAAAATTATGTGTTTAGGTTGTACTTTTGTGCCTAGTGCTAGAATATATTCTTGAAGTTTAATTCCTTCTATGGCTGGAAACAGTATAGCTTGTTCTTTCGAAGGGAATTTGAAGTTATTCACTACGTTATAGTATGTTGTATGTGGTTGATTAGTTCCTATTGATGAGTTTTGAGGGTCCCTATAGTTAGAAACCGCTCTGGCATTGGTTTTGGATGTATCAGTCATTTTGTTTTACGGCGGTTGATCTGCTAATAATTTCATATCCGGAATACTGAGTGCGGTCCTGCTGTTTGTTTATCACCGACGATGAAAGAAATACTTTCAGGTTAGCCGACTCCAAATAATAAGTTGACTCGGACGAATAAATTAGTAGCAGTGGGATCTAAACTCACCAATCACTAAATGACTAACGTTATTAGTTAACGAACTTGACTTGATTTACTACTGATTCCAATTATATTCGAAGTAAAATCAAAAATTTGTCACTACACTCAGATAACTGTATCAGCCCTAAGAAGATCAGGGACGAACTCCTTAAAGGTTTTCTTTCAAGTGTCTCAATCCTTAACACTTCATTGTAGATTTTTGGCAGGACAAATGGTTTTCCAAAGTTTGAATTTTGGCGGTTTTCGAATTTATATCGTTTTAATTCGAAACTACAATTGGTTGGAAGTCGTATAAGGGTGCTGCCTTTGACTGTGAAGAATTGGTCCCCTGGGCATTTTGATTTTATTTTTATTTCTCCTGGGATGATAACGATAATATATTCCTCGTTGATTTTATTAAATATTTGGTTAAGGTGGTTGTATCGGCATCTGGGGGCACCTAGCACCCTTTCCGTGAATAAGGGTGGTAATGCAGTCTTTTTCTGGGTGGAAAATCAAGTTTTCTTGATTGCAAAGGTATATGTCCAAGATTTGTATACAGGGTTGGTCCATATATTGGAATGTTTCTTCTACGAGAGCCAATTAAGGTTTGGGATAATTATGGTATTTGTTCCAGTTCGGATAGGAAACAAATGGAAATATTGAAAGGTTTTCGGATAAACTATAGGAAATTCTATGGCAAAGATAATTTTATTTTTTGATTTTTTCAGATTTGTTTACTGTGAGTCTTCAAGCATAGCCCACTGACTAATAAGAAAGTTTTTCTTCCTTCAGAGGAATCGGGCACATTTCGGATATGCAGTTGGTTAGTACCTCGTCCACTAGATGGAGTGACATTTTGTTGTTCGCTCTAACTTAGGAAGAGTAATGAAATACTCTGAAAGAATTCCGATTTTCAATTATGGAATATCATTGACTTCAGGTCGATGATGGGTACTATCTTGCACTGATGAGTGGCTAATGACCCCGAAACCGATCTGCAAGTGTGCCCGTTCCAAAATTAAAGATCGAGTCTTTCAGTTGTATTGCCAATTGCATAGGCAGGAAACGCTTTTGTGAAGATTCCTGCACTGACGCCTGTCGGATATAATCCAACGCCCTTCGTGGTATTAGCCAGGAGAGTAGTTATTTTCTGATAGGCGTCAGTCCATTCAACCTACTGTTTAGGTATATTCGAGACTGGATTGTATGTTTGAAGTTCATTCCTTAAGATTCATCAAAAATAACTGGAAGTTGGTTTTTAGGAGTAATCAGTAATTTTTTATGAATATCGACTTTTGCTTGTAATTGTTTTAATAGATCCATTCCTATAAGTCCGTCATATTTTTCATTAAAATTAAAAGTATAGAATTTGTAACATTCCTCAATGTAGAAAATTTTAAATATTGGAATAACAGCCACTTCGTTATGAAGAGAAATACTATGAAAGGTATGAATATTGAAATATTCATTAAAACTATAATTTTGGAAAATTTTATTTTCCATATTTGGACTCTCAACTTGGGAACAAATATATATGGTATTTTCTCATTGATTCGGCCGTTACTTGATGAAGATCCATAGTAATTTCAAAAACTATAACTCACGATTTGATCGCCACAAACTTAATTTGAAGAATATATCACAACATGTTACGCTAGAACGGTAGCTTTCGCAAGTGATTTGAATACTTCAACTTGTTCTTACATTAATATTTATATTACAGGTAACCATGATTGAGACTACCTCCAAAAAATTACCTAAACCTCTACCAAAGGTACCTGTTCAATTATGATCACCTGAAGCATATTATCTCACATCTACATCAAATATATATGGCAAATTGTTCCGTAAATGATTGAGGTCTATATTTGTTATGTTGTTTCATTGTTGTTCTGGGTCGAAGTATAGGGAAAATTTTCTTCAAAAGTAAAATTCTCGTTTTTGTTAACATTTTCATAAGGGCACTGGTTGAATACAATGTCCTGAAAGTTTTCAAAATTGTCGTTATGAATATTTTGGTCATTGAAACTAATTTTGAAGCAATTGTACTACTACTTTTCTGAATTCTCTGACCGAAAGAGAAGAAAGTTTCATTTCGAAGAGATTTCATTATCATCATTTCTTGAACAAGGCAATCTAGATTTCTTTGGTCTCCGAAACTAAGCCTAAGCAGATTCTTCAAACTATCCCAATCTCTAATTTCTGGTCTACTCCCAACTAACATTAATGCATTTCCTGATAATTTTCCAATAATAGCTCTGATTAAAAATGTATTGATTGGATCTTCAACATTTTGAATACTTTTGTAGGTAGAAATCAAATATTCACAATGTTCAATAAATACTTCCAAGGTACATTCATTATCACTATTAAAATTTGGCATAGTAACAATATAAAATCTCAATAATTGGTAATTGATAACCCTTTCTTGAGGATTTGCCATTTTATTATATCTATCTAATACTAAGTTATTCAATTGTCCAATTAATTCCTCAATTTTGACTGATTGTGAATGAACATTTATTTTATTACTATTATTATTTTCGAAAAATTTGTAATTATCTTCTTTCTCTTTTTATGCTAAATTTATGTTTCAGATTATTATTTTCGCTAATACCTAGAACACAATTGATTTCCACTCAATTCTGTATTTATTGCTAAAGTTAAATTATATGCACTAATTGATTCAGTCAATAGACAACTTTGCCACGAAATTCAAATAAAAGGAGAGGAAAAATGGATGGCTCACCTATTCCTGGCTTTTTTCCTCTTTTCTAGCTCACCGTGTTTTTCTGGGTCTCTGTCTCGTTCTTCAAATTTTCGGTTTCTTGTCCGTTAAGAGTTGGGACTCACAAACGAATTCGCGATGAGACGTTTTCGAACAGTCCTTCGACTGCGCCAATTATTTCGTAGGATTTGCTTTGAGGCTTTTTGAAATGCTTTATTTGTACATTGAAGGCAATTGATACAATTGAATGAATTAAATAAGAAAACAAGGTGTATAAATAAGTTCGCATATGAGGCAATGCTGAGTAAGCAGGCTAGATCGGCTAACGACCTGGTCTGGGAACATGCATCTGTAATGTTATACCGGTGTACTATTAGTTTCTGATATAATTCGTTAGAAACAAATTCCGAATTTCCATTTCACTGAATTATTTCACTAAGACATACATGTGGAGAGATGTTCACTGAGAATGTGTAAGGATTTGAAAGTATGAAACCTCACTGATGAGTTGAGGAATAATTATTTATCGTTTCGAAGAAGTGTTCGTCATGAAAACAGATCAAGACATGCATAAATAAACTTCATTGTCAAAAATATCTGGACCAATTATTCAACTCTATATGATCTTTCCAGGACAGCCAGTTGTTGGTTCGCACAAATAATGGGATCCTTCAAGGACGAACTAGTCACACATACACTGAAAAACAATATTGGGCATATGAAGGAATTCCGTATGCAAAACCACCAACTGGCCATCTACGATTCCGGGTGAGTTGTGATAATTTTTTTTTGGTGTGGATTGATTTTGAACATTTTGCAGGCCCCAGAGCCCTTTGAACCCTGGTCAGGAGTCTTAGATGCTACTAAAGAAGGTCTCACTTGTATAGAAACGTATCCTGATGAAACGGGAGTTATAACCAGGGGAGGTGAAGATTGTTTATTTGTGAATGTGTATACCCCACAGGTGAATATATTTCAGAAATTACTACTACTGTCATTGAAATCTCTTTGATATACGTCAGATTATGAGAGTTATTGATCTATGAAACAATATGATAATGGTATAAGTGATTGATCTCGAATATTATGATTTCAACACATTCCTCTTCAATTTTCAACCAAACCAGCTCGTTAACTTTTATTATTTCAATTGCCAATATCACGGGTCGTGAGCTCCACGATTCTTTGAAAAAAAAACAATATGTTCCAAGTTATGTATTACGAAATCATATAAGCCACGCTACGTTTCAAATAACGGGCCCAAGATACAGTTCATCTTGAAATCTGAAGTATTTTCTGACCGAAAGTTCAATAATAAAATAAGAGTCCACTCTCAAAACGGATACAGTGTGTGTGTGTGTGTGTGTGTGTGTGTGTGTGTGTGTACCTGTCGCGCAATAGTTGTGTGGCCACATGCCGTCTAGCAACACGCATGGTGTGNAAAAAATTCTCTGCACGCCCTTGAGCCAGGAAACAATATTATAGAAATGCCTTATTACTACTTACTAATACTGAAACGGTAATATGAGAACTCTCAAATTTATTAAATTTATGCCAAAGGGTACGCCTTACTTTGTTACAAGGTAGTTTATTAGTTAGATAAATAAATGGATATACAAGTTGAACTGAATCAAGTGAACACCATTATCGACTTTGTAACTGAAAAAACGACATTAGCAAATGAGTGATTTTTTTACACAAACTAACACGCAAGGAATAACAAAAACCAGTTGAGCATTGCCTTTTTGATTTGTAGGTAACATTTATTGTTCTAATGGAAGGCCCTGCATATATACCAGAGTACACCAAATTGTCACGTGGTGTCCTGTCACCCAGCCGTGAACCAATCAGAGTGTACCAAATTGTCACGTAGTGTCCTCAAACTGTCACGCAGCTCGCCAGCTAATGAGAGCGCACACTTCTACATCTCAGAACATCGTAGACAGACGACCAGACGTATCCCTCAACAAGACAGACCGCCCAGTCTCGTGGCGCACTTACATCAGATCATCTTTTGCTCAACACATTTTTGTTTCACGACGTCTTACAGAAGTTCTCGTTGGAGAATTGAACGCAGGTCTTTGGTGCGACTTGATCGTTAGCCTCGACAGCATCGTGAGATATTGAAAGTAATCGCGAACTCTTGATAGTGATGGCTTTGCTTTTCATTGCTTTTCGAATTGTTTTTACATTTGAAATATGATCACTGTTCAGTAAAACATATTCAGTTTCGTTTGAAGATGTATTGAGGAAACCAATTATGACAGAGTCGGAAGTGGCTTATCAGTGTAGGGGCGTTGGCGTTTGAGAGATAACAAGTCGGGTGCGTTTGGAATAATATGAGAACAAAATACATCAATCAAAGCGAAAAAACATGATAGCCATGAGATTATTCGTAAGATATCGTGTTATGAAATATAAGAAATGTGGGGAGTGTTGTGAAAAGTAAGTATGAGTTAGTGTAGCGGAATGGGGCAGGTATTTTCAGTCGTAGACCCAGGACAGAGATAACAACCTGCCTAGGAACGTATGCAAGCAGAAATTTACGCTATTGAATTGTATGCGGAGAGATTGGAAGAATCCAACCTCATACACAAGTCAATGAAAATTTTTTCGGAGAGTTAAGTGGTGTCTTGGCTCCTACCGAGCAACGTATACATTGCCAAAAACGGCTCTCCTTGATGGGAAGACTCAATAGATTGTTTCTGGTCTGGATTTCTGCCCTGGAAGGTAATAAAGCTGCTGACTCCTTGCAAACGAGGGGTGTTGCAAACAATTTCATCGGACCGAAACCTGTCATTGACATCGCTTTAGGCTTTGTCAAACGAAGATTGAGCACCTGGATGGCAATGACCGAAAGCAATAACCGAAGCCATCACTCTCAACAGTTTGCAATTACTTTCAATATCTAACGGTGGTGTTGAGGCTAACGATCGAGTCTATCGCACCCAAGACGTGCGTTCAATTCTCCAACGAAAACTGTTTTATGATGTCATGAAACAAAAATGTGTTGAGCGAAAAGATGGGCTGACGTAAGCGCGCCACGTGACTGGGCGGTCTGTCTCGTTGAGGGATACGTCTGGTCGTCTGTCTGGAAAAGTATGCGCACTGATTAGCTGGTGAGCTGCGTGACAGTTTGAGGACACTACGTGACAATTCGGTACACTCTGATTAGTTCACCGCTGGGTGACATGACACCACGTGACAATTTGGTATACTCTGGTTGACTGGGTGGTCTATCTGCCTTTTATGGTGAGCTGAGAGGCAACCTGACTGCTATGGTGACGTTACAGTCTGCCTGAAATGAGGTAACTCCTACTCACAACCATTAAAATGTGTTTATATAATTGAAGATGATCACTTGGTGATCAAAACACATGTTGAGGTGTTGAAAATAATTATTTGGTGTTGAGAAAAATCTTCAGTTATATTCAGTATGACTATGGTTGGTGGTATTTTAGAACTGATCCATTATTCGTACTCGAGAAAGCTATCGTATAGCAAAAAGAATATGAATATCGGAACATATAAAACCCAATGTATTCTGGACTATGTCCGCGAAAGCAGTCGACTAGTTCAAAATTAGAGATTTGTTCGCGATGGAATATCAACTATTTAATTGAACCACCGTTTCCCTTTCCGCACTGTTGCAACTAATCGTCAGTACTTACAGGTAACAATTCAGTCCATAACGGTTGAAAATAAAATAATTTCTTGAGAACTTTGAACTGTTCACGCTCAGAAAGGAAGGAAAAATACAAATTTTATTTTGGTTATATCATGGAATTGGCCAAAACTAATATATTCAAAAAAACATTTTATTGTGAGATTTTCACAGAACGATTTTACAAAAACGCAACACGTGTTTCGCCATACAAATTTTTGATGATTGATCATTTTCTTCACACATGAAACACAATCCATCATCCATTGTTTGATATTGGTTTCGGGCAAATCAACAGCTAGGTATTTCTGTGCGTACTCAGTAACCACAAAATCTCAATATTTGGACAGGAATTGTAGGTCCCTTTTGTATCTATAGTAGCCTAAATGCTGTCAAATACCTAGAAAGACTACAAAATCAAATGATTTTAACAGTTCTTCTATTTCGTATTACTTTTGGGGACATTTGGTTTCAACAGCACCTCTTTCCTCATAGGAGAAATTATTTGTTATAGTCACTGCAGCAAATAATTTCCCGAAAACAATGAAGCTTCGGGGTCTCAAAATCTTTCTTAAAGTCAGACATACACACATCCTCTATAACAGTTCAACACTGCCGTGCCAGTGCGGACACGAGTCCATTGTGAGTGGGGATACATCATCGTAGAGTGATTCAATCGAATATTTGATATTCTGTAATGACGAAATTTCAATTTTGAATTGGTCTACTGCTATCGCGACCTACGTCCAGACTCCATTGGAGTTCCTATGTTCCGATATTCATTCTCCACATTTGTATATGAAATTTTCTCGGAAGGCCAGCACAAACTTTCATAACAATAATTTCTAGGATTATCTCAATCTATATGCTATGGCAGATAGTGGATTTTAGCATTGGTGTCAAACTCGTGAAACATTTTCTGCATCCTTAACTAAATGGTGTAATCTGTTTAAAATCTGTTTAAAAAAATGTTTCTCCATTAACCAGCTGTTGCACCCCTACGAACGATAATCCTCAGAAGTCGAAACTTGTGCGAGTTAAGGATTAACGAAGTCTTACATTTCAACGTATGACTCCTAACACGGGTTGGACGATAGCAAGTGAAAATCGATCGTTCAGGCTAGGGTTTGAACCACCGACCAACACGGCAGTCAATTAGAGTGAGTGAACAAAGCACGCACGTCGAACCGCCTGGCTTCCGACCGACCGATATAAAGATAGTTTTTCGAAGACACATTTCAGAACACGGAGTACTTGAATATTTCAGTCCTTTTGCTCGTTAATATTTTCATTACAGTTTTTCATAACAGTTTCAACAGGCCTTGGGGAACCTCAGCCTTGGCCACTACGATCTTCGGACTTGAATACCTTGCATTATTCCATCTGAAGGCATCTCAAATTGAATGTTTATGCAACGAGAGTGACGGATGGAAATGAATTAATGATATTTGTGGTGTCATATGCATCACCTAAAGAATATTGGAAAGTAGGCGACAATCAACGAGCAAGTTAGAGTTTGAATTTTGAGCATTCACTGAATATTTTGTATTGAATTTCTGATAAACGAATTGAAAAAATCATAATTGCCTCAACTTTGTTTAAAACATACTAAAAGAATTTGAAATATTTATCTTTAAACTTGTGATCTCTAGCCCGGGTCAAGCGAAACGCAATCGATGTCAATAGTTTCGTTAGTAGGAATCGATCTATATACCCAACTGGCTAACGCTGAAAAGCCTTTTTTTATTTATTAGTCCAGAAGAATGACATTTAAAAATACGCCTAATGATTTGTTTGCACTGAAAAGGTCCAGTGGTCCAGTCGTATTATAATGCAACAGGCGAGTCAAGATGGATATTGAGGTTTGCTTCAGCTTCACTTTTAGTTTTCATATAGTTACTATTTGGGTACAATTTGAAAAAGTTTTATTTCAATATATAAACTTGTACTAGTTGTATACAATGATTTTCATTAACCTCTGCGACAACAGTGAAATTACTCTTATAAATCTAATTACATCAATAGTAGCCCAAGTTTGATAAAAGCAGTCAAACATAACCGCTTATTCATAACAACTTCAACACGCGTTATTCGGAAAAGCGATTTATTAAATTTATTCAATTGAAGTGAAAGTACAAACTATTTTTGATTTGAATGGATTCAAATTTGATCATAAAACATAATGAAGATAAAACGGCATATTGTTCAAATTGCAGCAAGCTTATTGACACACTAGTTCCAATAGAGATGTATCGACGTATCTGATCAAATTGAGAATAGTTCAGATATAAGTGAGGTAT